GAATGAGTCGACTATGATGGCGAACAATGGAAGGACTACCTTTCTCTGACGTAGCAAGCGCCTGGGCTTTCTCCTCGAAAAATTTCAAAGCCTGAAAGCAGACAATCCTACTATAGAGAAAGCAGGTCCAAAAAGAGTACCTGATTGTACACATCACATAATGTGTTCGAACGGGGCATATCTATCACAAACTGTTCGCTTAGCATAGAATCATTGTCACACACCATATTCAGATGAACTTTGATCTGAAAAAAATTAAAAAATTCGAGACAAGTAGCTGAACCATAGATATATGCCTCACATTTACAAGATTCAGTAAATAAATTCGTTGCCTCTCTCGCTCAGCTTCTTGTTCTTTCCACTGACTTTTCAGTTGAGTAATGTGAACAGGCAGATTTGCTGTACGAATAAAACTGGCATTCAATTTACTAATCTGAAATAATAAGCAAATGATCAAATTCTAATGCCTCGAAGTAACTGATACCTTTCTATACATGAGCATATATGCATTTGTATTACTTGTAGACCACCCGCCATAAGAACCACCAAAACTTTTCGAAATTTCTTCAGGGCCAACGGGTTCGACGCGTGTGTCATTGAAGCAGTACCACTGCCCTTGATCCATGTTCCTAAACCAAGCTCCTATACAATAAGAAGATATATTATAGAGTAAGCAATGAAACTCAAAACCGTAACTATGATGATAGTAAAGCTATGAGTTTCTTACTTGATATGAGCGAAGTAATGACCGCCTGCAGCGCTTCCTTGATGCACCATGACGGAGAACAGCTCATACACATATTCCCCGTGCTTGAGAAGTTTGTTAACATAGTCACGATCCACCCGTTGACCAACAGTATACGTTTCTGAACGAGGTGAATTGCCGCTGAACCTTCTGTCTTTTGCGAGACGGTGAATGCTTGATTCTATGTAGGTCATCAACTCAAAAGCCCAGTTCATCGCTATGCAAGCCTTCAAAAATTAGCGAACAAAGCTTTGGTTCAATATTAGGTGGTTCCATAAGTTCGCAGCGTTTTTATAAACAAACAGAACT